TTTGGGTAAATACAATATATTAGCCACAACTATTATGAAGTGGGGAATTATAGCCACAACTATAGAAATTCAAATTATTAGCCAAATGTTAACTATCTGTTAACAATTTCGTTAGTAATACTCACTAAAGTTTTATGTTTTAAAGTTATAAATTAAAAGCATTCCGACGTGGCCGATGACGTGGCCTTCTCTGTCAAAAATTCAATAATAGTAATGGACAGTTAGCCATATCTTGACCCGCAACAATAGTTATAGCTAATAATTTTAATTTTCATAGTTGTGGCTATAATTCTCCGCTTCATAATAGTTGTGGCTAATATATTGTATTTACCCAAGTTTTTTTTTAGGTTGCAAATTCCACATTGACAAAGTACAGGGAGATTAATAATTCATAAGAAGTTGTACAACTTTAACTATCAAAAAGTATTTTGGAGTGAAATGTATGAGTTCTTGTAAGAACTCTTAAGTTAAACGTGCTTAGTGTGAAACATTGAAAAATATGGTTACATAACACATTAGGCAAATATCACATCGACAACCCATGTGACAGATCTATGATTTTTAAGGAATAATCCAACTTTAACCGACAACTCGTATTTTGAGGTGAAATTGATGAGTTATTGTTAGAACTCTGAAGTTAAAGGGCTCGGTATAAAGTAGTGCAAATATGAGTGACCTCCCAAAAGTCATCATGAAGCGTCCAAAAGCAAAACCATGCAAGTTAGTTCGAAAGTGGATAATATCTTGGTAAAAAACATTGAGATGTTACGGTTGTTAGGAATACAGCAAAATAATTGATAAAGCATTTTATTCCTTATTGTATTTATTTTCTCTCAACTGTATCCTGATTTCTTCACCTACTTTAGCTACAAACATTCATGTAAAATCTCTTGTAACTATGATAAAATTCCGAAAACACATCAACTAAATTCACAATTAATTTCCACAAATTCTCTTTTCTTAATGATATGAGAGCTAGTCACAATCAAGTAATCCCGATCCATCTATGGTTTCTTTTATATGATCTTCTCCTATGTTTTCTCTATGAGCACGGCTTCAAACTCCACCTTGTCTAGTGATTTTGGTGCTAGACAGTACGAAGACTCGTTGATCACTTTGAATCCAGCGAGGCAGCGACAAAGCTTTCGTTGATAGAAGCGTTGTCCAAAATGATTGGGCGTAAAGCATTTGTAGGTGGATTTTTAAGTCCATCGTCAAATCCTAGGGTTCAACAGTGGAAACTAGGGGTGGAAGTTTGGTTTGCGGGTTGCGGATAACCCGCAAACCTCACCAAACTGCGCACTTGGTGGATACCCATACCCACAATTTATGGATAGTGGCGGTTGGGTGTGGGTAGCAAAATATTAATTTTTGTGGTTAGTGGTTAACCACTACCCACAACGGTTTACCCACAAAATCCACATTAACCACCTTAGTTATATTTATTTCTTCAAAAATACTTTGTAACCCTTATTAACCACATTAGTTATTTTAGTTTGTGAAACTTGGAAGACTAAGAATTAAAGTAGCTACCAAAATCAAATACGCACTTATTCTATAAAACAAAATCAGGTCAATACACAATGTTCACGTGAGATACTTTTATCAAATAAGCATTGTCCGTTGGTATATGTTTATTTTATAACAAAATCAAGTCCATAGATATAGTCATTTAAATTAATCGATTCGTTAAAAGAGGGGAATAATCAATAAAGATTAGTCTGATACCCAAATTCATCTCCATTTCTCCACGAACTCACGAACAACACAACATGCAACCAACTACCAACAATACAATACTATAATCGAGAGTGGAGAATAATCGATTCATTAAAAGCGGACGCCTCCACTTATCGAGCCACTTTTGTGTTTTGATGTTGTTGCCATCGGAAGAGCCGTGACATGCAACGATTTTTGTCTGGTAAACAAGTCATTCCGCCTCTTCGTTATCTTCAAACTTCTTTCCAAATCCATCTCTTCTGAATTTACACTAACTAACCTATTGTATTCGAGATTTATAATTTATTTAACACTTTATTGACTTTCTTCTATGTATGTTTTTGTTTTTGTTTGAGAAGAAACACAACATCACTATTTAATTACCATATTATTATATTTAATGTGATATTTTTGTGGGTATCCACAACCAACTCGCAGCGGGTAGTGGTTAACCACTACCCACTGCGGGGTAGGTTGTGGGTAACATAATTCTATATTTGTGGGTGTGGTTACCCACAAAATATGGGGCGGGTAACCACACACACCCCAATTTCCACCCCTAGTGGAAACTGCCAGGCTGGAATACGGTAGGGGCGGAGGGAATTGCTGGTGGAGTGGTGAAATGCGTAGAGTTGAGACTCAAAAAAATTCACTCTTGGCACTCTCAAATCAAAACTCTGCTAATGTGTCTGGAACTCCTTGGCTTTGTTGATGGCTCCAGGATTGCTCAGCCCGAAACAATTATGAAGAAAGGCGCCTCCTCTTAGAATCTCGTCTTTCTTCATTGGTTTGGAAAAGATAATCTTATCCTTCATACTTTTCGTTGCACATTATCACAATCAATTTACTCTATTCAGGTCTTAGCATGTGAAAGAATGTCATGAGAGAGTTTCGAGACCATTCAGAGGTCAAACAGGAACGAAAAAATAGTATGCCCCCAAGTCAGTGGTTGGACCCAAAGTCACGAGTTGCGCTTCAAAGTCATGCCATAGACGGTGACATTGAGGGAGGGGAGCTAGAAACACTCTCGAAAGTCATGGTCTGAACCTCCAATATCACAGCACAGAACTCTGTTGCGGGTATAAATGTGTTTTATGCGGATTCTGAAGGGAGAATTTGGTTGTTGGATCCTCAACATCCAATGGACAAAACCTAGAGAGAGAAAACGACTTTGAAAACATTCTGGGAGCTGTTTGAAGGTTTTCTTCGCCATTGGAAAGGGGATCAAGCCTACGGGTGGAGATTATCGGTAGGAAGAAAAAATTTCATCACCACAATGAGAACTCATCTTCTCATCTATATTCTCTCTCTTCTCTATGGAGTAACTTCCCTTCACTTAGGTTTTGAGGAACCCTACTTATATTTGTTTGATTTAATGATTGTATGAGTATTCTTACTTGTTAAACTTGAGTTCATATTCAATCTATGCATGTTTATGGTTCAATTATGCTGTAATTGAGATCATTGATTCTACTTCGATTCTATGAGAGGGTATACCTGATTAGGTCAATAGAGCACCATAAATTGCAAGTAAGGGATCAATTGTGTGAGAGTGAGCCGATTCTTTTGCTTTGTATTGGGTGAGAGTCTTGTTCAATAGAGGAAGTATAGTTTTGAATTGTCTTGGTATTCTATCTTAGTTGAGGATATGTCCCTCTAATTAGTCTATTCACGAGGGTCTTATCTGCTTTAATTGATATTCAAGACTTTTTAAGGACTTTTGGCATTGTGAATGAAGAGTGAAACAAGTTAGAGAATCATCAATCATTAATCCGGACGTGACTAAAAACAATTAATACCTAAGTGAGTTTCACCATTGTAATTAGTTAGATTGACCTTCAAAATACATGCATGTATCCAATGCAACCAAGGATCCCCAATGCTTGCATAACCAATAAGAGGAAAGCCCTCTCCACCCGATCATATGCTTTCTCCATGTCAAGTTTCAATGTCATCCATTTGTCACAGTCATGCACTTTAGTTTTAAAATACGGCATAACTTATTGACCTATGAGAATATTATCGGTAATTGATATGCCCTTAACAAAGCCATTTTGGTTACTACTGACAACATGATGGAAAATTGTCCCAAGACAATTAGATAATATTTTCAAAATGATATTGTAGAATACCTGGAACAGCCCAATTACAATCAGATGTAGCAGCCCTCGGTTGGTGCCTTATGAAGGAGGGAAAACCATGTGCGATTGAAGCTTTGACGCAAACGACTAGACCGAAAGAAACTTAGTACCGATGCACTTACATCATGAACCACCACCTCCCAAATACTTTGAAAGAATGAAGCAGTAAAGTCGTTTGATCAAGGAGTCTGAAAAGTCCCAATATAAAAAAACAACCTTACATATTTAGAATCTGGATACCTGCAAACCGAATGCATTCATAGGTCCGGTTACCTTTCATTGGGCTTGTTCCTGTTTTCTATTGTGCTTTATAAGTTTTGTGGTGTCTCTGGATTGGTATGGGGGTTTCCCGTTTGTTTTATGATATTTGTGGTTAGTTTTATGAGTTTTTTTCTGTTTTATGAAACTTATGGTCAGCTTATGAGGTTTCTGATTTACATTATGAATTTTATGGTGTAGTGAGCTTCTAGTCTGCTTTATGAGCTTTGTGGTCTACTTTATTAGTTTTGTTGTACGGTTTGTCGTGTTTGTGAAGTAGTCCAAGTTTTCTGGTCTGGTTTGATGAGAGTTGTGGTCAGTTTTATGAGTTTTTTCTGATATGATATAGGAGACTTGTGGTAAATTTTGAGGTTTTCACTTTACTTTATGAGTTTTGTGTTGTGTTGAGCTTCTAGTAAGCTTTATGAGCTTTCTTCGCTATTTTAGATTTTTTTTTTGTGACATGGTTTGTCGTGTTTTTTGTAAGAGTTTCCTGGTCTAGCTATGATGATTACAATCCACATACGTGTTCTCCTATATTTTTTTTTAAATGATAAGTATATTCTTGTGATAGACTTCTTTAACATAAAAAATCATTAAATAATGTGACTAATAAATTAATGTTAACATCCTAACCTTGTCCATTCCGTTAACGCACTCATGCAAATTAATAATAAATCATAATTTATTTCCTGGATTTTCTAAGAGTAAAAGGTTTGGGCCACCTCCCCTTGGCTTGGTAAATAGAAAAGCCTTTCCATTTATCGACTATTTAGTCCACTTGGATTTAGGTTGGTTGCAACTTGCAACCACAAGAATAATAAAGCGGACCGTATTTAATTCAGTTCCATTATAAAAACAAAAACTGAATTCAAATCTCTACTTGTCTTCTAACACATAGTCGTATTGAACTAGGCCTTTTCCCCAAATTAAAGAGCAAAGCTACCAGAGCAAGAAACCATTGAGCAAAACTACATTTCGTAGCTTTCCATATTGTTCAGTAATGAACGTTTCAATCATCAATTAATTAAACCCACCAATTGGATTAATGAATCACTTCATTAGGTACCTCCACCAGCCCACATATGCATGTATCAAATTGAAACCTGCTCTATACTTCATGCTTGTAAGTCTATTAATACGAATTAATTCCCCCCTCATCATTCCACAAAGATCTCTTCTCCAATACCAATGGCTTCTGAACAAATGCGCTCCCAAAATTTTCGAGTCCAGTGTTACTATGTAAGGCTAAGCCACCTCTTCCACCTCATCTCTTTTGTCATTGGCATCTCACTTGGAACCGTAGCTTGTTTGTACCTCAAGAGCTTCACTACCACGTTGAGTGCCACCATCACCATGTACCATGTCTCTTCCTCATCCTCCCGGCCACTCCAAGAACTAATTACCTCGCCGCCGCGGCCGCGGCCTCCACCGTGCCTTGTGCATAACATGAGTGACGAGGAGTTGCTAGCAAAAGCAACCAATAGTGCAGGAGAAGCATCACCACAAGGAGAACATTCCCCCAAACTGGCTTTCTTGTTCCTGACTCACGGCCCATTGCCCTTCTCCCCATTGTGGGAGACCTTCTTCCGAGGTTCCACCGGCCTTTATTCCATTTACGTGCACCCGCACCCTTCCCACATCGACTCGTGGCCTCAAACTTCCCCATTTTACGGTACCAGAATCCCTAGCAAGGTCGTCCAGTGGGGAAGCAGCACCATGGTCGACGCGGAGAGACGCCTCTTGGCCAGCGCTCTCCTCGACCCGTCCAACCAGAGGTTCGTCCTGCTCTCCGAGTCGTGCGTCCCGCTGTTCGACTTCGCCACAACGTATCGTTACCTCATGGACTCGAGCCGGAGCTTCCTGAGCTCCTACGACGATCCACGAAGTGCCGGGCGCGGCCGCTACAACCCTAGGATGCAGCCTGCCATCAACGCCACCCATTGGAGGAAAGGATCGCAGTGGTTCGAGCTCGATCGAGACCTGGCCCTGAGGATCGTGTCGGACAGGAAGTACTACAAGGTGTTTGAGGAGCACTGCAGACGGCGGTGCTACATGGACGAACACTATATTCCGACGCTGGTGAACATGTTATGGGCCGAGAGGAGCTGGAACCGGAGCGTGACCTGGGTCGACTGGTCGCGGAGCGGGGCCCATCCGAGGCGGTTTGGGCGGGCCGATGTAACCGACGGGTTATTGAACCGGATCAAACATGGGTCCAGGTGTATTCGGGATGGGAACGTCACGTCTGTTTGTTACCTTTTCGCTCGCAAGTTCTCGCCCGATGCTTTGGAGCCGTTGTTGAAGGCTCAAAACTCCTCCGTGTAATTAAGGCCCTCACAGTAAATACAATGGCCATCTTGAACTCCAAGTTCCTTTTTTCAAAGATTAGTGGAAAAAAAATTTCTTTCAAAACAAGATGATGATAATCACCTGTGTTGTTAAAGGCGTACCGAGCTGCTCGGCTCCACCGGTAAAACCGCCACCCGGTAACAAAATAGGCTCGGAACAGTCTAAAAGCCGCTCCGGTTTTATGTAGCGGTTGGCGAGCGGCCGAGGCGGTTAACCGATCGAGCCGCTCGTCCGGTTTTTGCCATTCAGCCGTTAAATTTAATTAAAAAAATTGCAGAAAATTGAAAATTGAAATAAACCAAAAAACGTCGGGCTCTCAAACTGAATCCTTATTTCCATTTCACAATTTCGAAGGAAAGAGATGAGCTCTGATTAAGAAATGTCCACTATTTATATTGATTACGTTTATTAGGTACCGGTTCTCTAACGGCTTTTAGACGGTCTTTTGTCAGTTGGACCACCAAAATGCGAGTCGTTCGCATTATCGGGTCATGCTCCGATTCAGTTCTGACAACATTCATAATTACTTAAGCATGTATAGGCTATAGCATATAAATTTGTAGTTACTACTGAGGCTTGGTCGTCCAGCATTTGTTAAAAACCAGATTCAATTGTTTAGAGATTTTAGAATCATCGCTTTGCAACTATGTTAAAATCTTTATAAAAAACTAGGATAAATACTTAAAATTTGATTAGTTATCATATGAATTTTGAATATTTGAAAGATACTAATGAATATTTGTGAGGTATTCAAAGGGAGCAAATCTTGTCAATAACCTAGTTTTTTTATCATTAACTCACTCGTATCGCCAAGGAAAGAAAACAGATCAAAGTGAATACATCGTCCTAAACCAGGACGTAAAATCAAACCCCACTAAACCGGGGAACAAAGAAAGGGCATTCCACCAAAATGAGAAGCCCTATTTCTAACCCGACCAATAAAGTAGACATTCCAGCTCTCTAAATACTCTCCAAGCACAATTATGTCAGCTAAAATGGCTCCACCACAAACATCTGATACCACGCCTCTCTTTACGTGAGCAACTTAACCAAGAACGGATCCACAACCCTATCAAACAGCCGCCCTTCCACTGCCAATAGTGTTCCCTGCGAATCCTTCATGACCAATCCCCCAGCTCCATGAGACCCAGGCCGAACTGCCCCATCAACAAACACACTCACATGATCTAGGGACACTGAAGCTAGCTCCACCACACCTTCCGGCAGACCCTGGGAAGTCGGTCCACGCATCTCTGGCCGAGCCTGCAAAGAGTACTGCATAGCCAATGTAACAAAGGATGCTCAAACACCACCCAATTACGAGACTTTCAAATGCCAGAACAAAGATACCAAACTCATAACATGTTCCCGCCCCACCGCAGGCTGTTCGAGAAACCTACGCCAAAAATAAAATAACATTAATCATAGTTAAGGAATCATGAACAAAACCAGTTTTCTCCCAAAGCATATGCGTTGTATAGCAATCAAAGATAAGATGCTCCAGCGACTCCTCGTCGTCCTCCCTACAGACAGGACACCTAAACAACCTCGACATCCCCCTGGATGCTAGGGCCTCCCCCATCGGTAGAACCTGATGCAAGAGCTGCCATAGGAAAAATCAAAGTTTAGGCGGAATAGGCAGAGCCCAAACCACCGACCATAACCCTTTATCCAAAAACGAAGCTGCTGCTGCCTCAAACCGTGGCTCACGCCTTCTACGGAGCTCTACATTAAGATGATACCCAAAACGGATCGAATAAACACCTGAAGCCTCAAAGTGCCACACCAGCCGATCAAGAATACAAGTCACCGACAACGGAATCTCCTTAATTGCCTGAACCATGTCTTCTAGGAACAGTTGGTGCAGTCTATCTCTGTTCCAAAGACTAACCTGAGGATGGATAAGAGAAGACACCAAGGAATCACTATCCACCAACCCCGGAAAAGGACGAAGAGGGAACGGATGCTATCCTGTCCAATCCGAATCCAGGAAAGACGACTGCGCAAGATACTTCCCCTTGTATATCCTGGCCAACAGGGACTCCGGTTCCATTAAGATCTGCCATGCTAGTTTAGAAGGAAGGGCAAGATTAAAGTCCTCGAATAACCGAAAACCTAATCCCCCTCATGCTTTCCCAAACACAGCTTTCCAAGCAATCCAATGAATACGACGTTCCCCATGCTTGATACCCCCCACCAAAACCGAGCTAGGTGTCTAACCAAATCCCGATGTAAAGAAATCGAAAGGAGAAAACAAGACATTACATGGATAGGTAAAGCACTTACCACAGCCTTAATCAATTGTAACGATCAATTATAAGAATTGACTGTCACATCAATAAAAGTTAACCGAGACTAACAAAGTGACCAAATTTAAACTATTAAATTAATCTTAATGACCGCGAATGAAATTAAGTATGTAGTGATCGAACTTGAATATTTTTAATAAACCCATTGACCAACCTTACAAATTAACCTTTTATTTTTAGGTATCTCCTTCAATCTCATCATTCACTTGTATTTTCTTTTTTTAATCTTTCAATAGGTATCCCCGCATTCTTTGAATATTATGGATCACCTAGCATCAGGCACAACATCCACAGCCTACCGTGGTCGTATCTTGGACCCGTTTAAATATTTCGTCAATTTCCACACACACACAAAAATCCTTAGTTGGAGTGGGGGATGGAACCAGTGCTAAAACAAAATCACCGAATCAGACAAAATTATCAGGCGTGAAAGTTGCATATACACAATCCTTACATGGACTATAAAGGTGAAAACTTGAGACCAAAAGTTGGGGAAAGAAATGAACAAAAACCACTTTTGGGAGAGCTTCACAGCGCCCACACGGAAGCCAGTAGCGCATTGATACTGGTATCTTCACAGCTTCGCTATTGCTGCCCCAATCTCTCCTGTGAATACAACATGGGTATCCATTTCAATATATTATGTTTGGAATAATAAAAAGGTTGAGAATTGAATTCTATTGGGTCTAAAATTTGAGAATTACAATTCCTATCAAAAGTGATAGGAATTGAGAGAATGAAGATGGAATTAGTAAGACCCATCAATACTTTTTATTATTTTATTGATCCACTATCATTTTACTCTCTTTCACTCTCATTCATATTTTATTTCCCAAAATAAAACAAACATATTACATTATTTATTATGGTTAAAAGTGCAATTCATTTCCATAGTTGTAGGAATTATACCAAACACTAAAATTGAAAATTAAATTCTATAAAAATAAAAAATGGAATTCCATTTCCATTTCCATTTCTTCCAGAATTGTATCCAAACAGGCGGTAAGAGACAAGTCATGGCGCAATAATATGATCTTGTAAGATACAGAGTTAGTAGTAACCTGAAGCATCTGCATCAACCTTGGGTGTTGCTCCAAGAGCCGGCATAGCTCATCCTTGTTACTCAACAGTGCCTGTTATGAAACAAAAACGCGATTGCAGTATCAGAGAACCAATTCAGCTAAACCACACACCAAAGCAACACTAAGGGTGTGTTTGTTTCCGCAAAAATAATTCACTTTTAAACTAAAACAGACACTTCTTCAATCCAAGATTTTAAAACACTATAGCCTAATAAAAGCACATCCTGTAGTTCAGGGGGATGGATTGCAAATACCGTAATTGCTTGGGGATCTCTGAAGTACTCGTGCAACGAAAGATCCTGCTGTTGCTGGGATGAAGAACCATCTCCTTGAGAATGCTGCAGGCCTTGCTCATGAAGTTGTTCAACTTGCTGCGGCTGTCTCAACTGAGGGATCTCTTGCTGTTGACCTTGATATTGAGCATGCATGGCAACCATTTGAGGCTGTTGCATCATTTGCACTTGATGGACTGGAACCTGAAACGGATTTTGCAAAGGCGGCATCCCTTGTTGTTCCAGCTGCTGCTGATGAGAAGATGGCTGCAAAGGAGGCCAGAGATGGGCTTGTGAAGGACGTTGCACTGGTGGCTGTAGAGGCTGCAACTGATGCATTGACTGAGCGACGGGGATATTCTGCAGCATGCTCGGGGTGTCGCCACCTGGTTGCTGAGTTGCTCCTGTGTTTACATAAGGCGGCCGGCTGAAGACCAATGGTTGCATCAGTGGAGGATGCGGGTAGGAAGTTAGGCCAGCCACCATAGGAAACTCGGTATATCCCGATGACTGTGGAGTTGAAGCGGGCTTTCCAGAAGGCAAATGGTAAGGGCCAGCTGAGAAAGGAGGTGGCGGTGTTGGAGGAAGCGGTGGATGAGTTCCGGCTGACCCACTCGGAGAAGAGACGTTAGAACTCCTTGAAGAATATTTGGAATCTGCTAAAGAATGGGAGGATGGTAGACGTGCAGGACTGTTTACAAAAGCAGGAGGATAATCTGATTGAGCCTGCAAACATTGTAAATGATGATGAAGAACCTGAACAAACATGAATGATGGGTATGTTTGTTTCGCTTTTGCTAAAATAGATTTTAATTGAATTGAAATGGTATGAGATAGGTTTAAGCAATAAAATTGTATTTGGATGACAGGATAGTAGCGTATTCAATACTAACAAAATTAACTGATTCTGGAAATCACTATTTGGCCATAACTTAAAGAATGTACTTTCATTTCAAAGCAAAATAGTAAGGTGACTTGGCTTTTAATGAATAGTTTTTTAAAGAAGTTAATTTAAGGAGCGTGCTTGTTTCAGCTATAAAGTTCACTTTTTAAGAAACAATTTTTCAAGCTCAAACAAGCATAGCGAAGGTTATACAAGGGCAATTATGAAGAGACGTAATTCTGCCCATGGAAAGAATGAGTTTGACAGCTGTACCTCTGCAAAAGACTTCAAGAAGGGGGATGACAGACTTGAGCCAGGATCAAGACCCTGAGGTATGATTCCAGGCGAGACAGACGATGATGGAGGTGGTATTGGAGGCAAAGGCGGTTGATGAATACCAATCCTATGCTCATAACTTCCTCGAGATCCCGTTGCACTACGAGGGCTGTTCTTCATATAGACATTCGGAGTTGTTCTGGCATTCATTGGTACATGCAAAGACGAAAAACCTGGCCCACTATTGTAATAAGTTCCACCACCAGCGCCATAATCATCCCCCACAGAGGTTATACCCCGAAATATGCTCTTCGAATCATCAGATTTAGTGGCATTTCAGGTCTAGTGGCAGCCGACATCCGTGAAGAGAATTTTTCATCAGCATTGGATGATGCCAGTGGAGTATCTCTCTGTGTCTCCTCAACAATTGATTGAGGAGAGCTTTGTTCAAGCATGACAACAGGTGCAGGTTGCTGAAGATTGTCATCTGGCTGAGGAAATAGCAACTTGTCATCAGTCTCGGACTCCTCAGCATCAAACACTATATCTATACCATGGAGATCATCATCAATATCAGTTTTTAGCTGCTTAGACTTGTTGGCTTTCTCTTTATCAACATCATTGTTAACCACAGCAGCAGCCAGTTTAACTTGTGATGATGATGGCTCTCCAACTACACCAGCAGCCATTGGATTCTGTCTTTCTCTTTCTCTAGCCATGAACTCATCCACGTGAATTGAAGGAGGTCTTCCGCCACCAGACCCTAATCGTTGGACAGCAATAACATTTGAATTATTCCCCACCCCATCGACGCTTCTCTCTCTAGCAACATAGTCATCGACATGCATGGATGGAGGCCTGCTAGTGTTTGGTTTTCTCTGTCTAAAGGAGTCTCTACGGATGGGACCAGTAGAGGCAGTAGTTGGGCCCATTCCCCGACCAAATGAATTCTGTCCTGTTATTTCGGCCACTGAACTTTCACCCTTCACTCGCTTGCCAGAACTGTCCACAGATGATAACTTCCGTTTTGCAGGAAGGTTTTGTGATAATCTGTCAGGCATTATCTCTGGACACTCCCATAAGAAGTTGTCTGCAAGGCCCCCAAGCAGAACACAGTCATCATCCATCTCACGATTTGCATTTGAAGAAGCAAGAATATCAGTAGAGAGCAAAGCATCCCTACTAAATCCAATTTCATCTAGTGTCACAGAACCTCTGGGTTTTTGAAACAGTAACATCAATGCGTTGGCAGATTCTAGAGCCTGCAAATCAAAAGGCAGTGGATGAGGGTCAGACATAAAAATATGCTATCATTACAAAATAGGTCACACAGGCCCTCTCCTATATGTTTTTACCTGATACAGAGTGGCTTGCACAGCGACATGGTAGTTGTTTGTGATCTTTGAATTCAGCACTGTAGTCATTTCCTCTATGGAGGATAAGGCTTCCGAAGGGCTGTCTGTCTCATTCATGTCATTTGGGATCCCGTAAAGGTATTTTATGGCAGCCACTGCATTCCAGTTCAAACTGACAGACAAACAAATGTGCCTCATGGTTAGTCAGCCTTTTTCAAGTTTATTGATCACAACATGGCAGCACTGATACAAGCATTCAAAGTGCCCCAACAAGCTACCCTATAAATGAAATATCTTTAGAGATATCATAATGGGAGAAAAGGCTTCAGACGAGGGCTCTGAAGCAAATTACGGACCATGTAACATAAACAAAGAGGTTGTTTGGATGTAGGACTTAACTCATGAATTTTAGTACAACATACATGAGTGGAGGGTTTCTTCCAAGACCCTTGTGTGGTGGAGCGAAAAATAGGTGGCAAGTCCATGGAGGAAAACCATCAGGGTGCCAACTCCGTGGGCGAAACGATTTCAAAAACCAATCCCAAAGGAAGGGTCTGTGAAATCTTTCACTAGTACTGTCTATTTGTGTCTTTATCTTTTTGTCAATTCAATGGAAGAGGAATGGAGAGAATTATAATGGTTAGGGCATGATGGTCATTTTTAGTTGTAAAGTCAATCCACTACTACAATGACACATACAAACTACAAAATTTTGTTCCTTCGGGGACATCCGATAAAATTGGAAGAAACAACAAAATTTTGAAATCCATAAATGTCAAAATTCACCAATTTTCAATCCATTGATTTTGCACAATCCATCACTTTTCAAAATCCTACATCCGAATAACTCCGAAATAATTCAAGACAGATGAAAGCACGAAAAGAGGGCTCACAAGAGTAAAGTTATATCACCCACATAATATTTTATGGTGCTGATTTAATATATTAGTCCGTGATGATCTAAGATGAACTTCTACTTCACCTGTACAACTGATGCAATGCTCCTACAACCCAACTACCCCTTAGATAAAATACATAAATCAAGTAAAACAACCAAATTTACTTCCAAATGGTATTAACATGCCAACTGACCTCTTTTCATTGACGCAGAAACTCAAAGACCCAGCTGACAATGCATTGATAGCCTCCACTGCCCAAGTTGATAGTCCATCCAAGTGATCAACAAACTTGAGCAATTTCATCCAGCAATGCAACAAAGGAGGGTTATTGCTCCATTCGTAAACATCACCACCACGATTTCCATTCCTTTCATCACCTTTGTGTGATTCTACCTCCATAAGTGTTCCATTGACAACACTGCTCGAAGAGGTCAACAAAGCACTCCGACCTTCACTGCAACTACCCATTTCCTTAAGACTGATTAGACAGGAAAGCAATTCTCTTCCAACTGGCAAGGCCTGGGAAAAATAAGGGTGTTTGTTAAAAAAATATGGCGGTGAGGATTTCACCCTTTCAGAGTTAGATTGAAAATGAAAGAACAGGAAGTAACCTGGCAGAAATTCAAGAGATGGGGTAGAATCGATGCGCAGTCCTGAGAACTAAAGCTTACAGCATGGCTACAGTAGATTTAAGAAAAGATTAGTCCATTAACCAAAGTAACCTGACAGCATAGGGAAACTAAACTTTTCCAATATATGTATACGTACAAGTCACAATGTCCAGAGTACGGTAATGACGTTTGAGAACCACAAAGCAAAGCGATGGACTTGAACGCAGGAAGGCAGCACAGGCTCAGAGTGACACCAGATTTTGCAAGACTTTTGCTCTCTGAGAGATGAATTCCATCTGAATCAATGGCATTAAAACACCTCTCTAGAGTCTCAATTAAATGGTCAGCAATGCCTTCCTCCAATAACAGCACCTAAATCAAGGAAATGTACATGAAGAAGATCCGATCCAGCTGCAGAAACATAAGATAAAACAAAGACGAACATACCTTAGCACGTGGATGCTCCAGTACACTAGCAAGAAATGCAAGATACCTATAAACCTGAAGTGAGAAAAAGAGGATATCAAATATACACAAAACAAAGGCAAATGACTATGAGTCCATGACCATAAACAATTTCAAGTCCATTAATTAAAAACAGAGAAGAAATGTATTTACCTTGTAAACATCTTTCTGTGACAGAGAAGAACAGTCAGAGAGATGGTCACGAACAGATGATAACAAAGGCTGGATAAGAACAGAAGCATTGATCGGTTTTTGGCAAGTAATGTGAATTATGAAGACCCGGAGCATGTCTTGGATGACAACCAATCTCTGAATATAGGAAAAAGAAATTATAAAATGAAAACATTTCTAGATGACTAGTAGAGTGCAATTCCAACTACAATCTATAGATGGAAGTCCGCACGAAACAATGATGAGTAAGCACGTACGGAGATGGCATAGTGTCTGATAATCAGGGCAATTTTATCAAGTTGTGGGGTCAACTGGTTGAGCAATTTCTCCCGGTAGGAAGGCTCAAGATACCAGTTGATATGTCTTTCCTTATGTGGACCTAACAGTGTTCCCACAGCCAGCGTTCTTACAGCACTTAACAAGGGCATTCCGTTCTTCCAAAGCCAAACACCTTCTTCAGGGAACAGATCATTCTTGCAATTGCAGAGAATGAAGCATTAAGTACGGATAAACAAAAATAGCAAACAAAATAAACCTCCACATCAACCCATTCAACCAATTTATGGCCATTACTAACAGATACCAAGTTCAGCAAAGTAAGAAGCATCACTGCCTGAATAAAATGGCAAGCCTAGCCAGAAATAGAATCATATGCATGCACTTTCTGTTTCAAGAATAAGCCATCGCATCCAAGTGGGAGATAAAACCTGGAGTTCGCATACCAATAGACAAAGCAAGCTACATGTTTCCTTTGGGCCCAAACCCAGCAGTGAAGTTGATTGAACATTTGTAAGGAGGGAGTGGAAAAGACCAGGTGTCCATCCAGCCACCGGCCAGAAGCTAAGGGCTGACACAGTCAGATGGCAGACAGCTCCAAAACCAAGTGCTGAATCAGGATAAGAAGATGATAAATCTGCTGTGCATGCAGCAAGCTTCGGGCTGCAAGTTCAGATATCTGGTATTATTATGAAAGCTACAAAGCACAGAAACAAATAGTCAGACACAAGAAAAAATATGTAATATACCTGACTTCTCGGTGAAGGCGGAGAAGCGCATTCATCAACTTTGTGTTCCTATGCTGTTCTTTTGCTTCCTGCAACCACGAAAAATACCGAAGTCTGTTCATATTTCGTGAAGAAAACGCAGCAAAGCAAACAGTTCCGATTACTAAATGAGCTTTATATAGCAGCTATATCATTCTCAATGCCACAATTGGTATTCATGAATCCAGACAGATCAAAACAGTTTTTCTACACCAGCTGTCATGTACCCTTAGATGTCTTTATAGGGGAATGACAAGTGGAAAAGAAGAGAAGGGGAAGAAGGTAGATCTGAGGTGAAGCACCATCAGGCATCTATGTCCATGGTAGTTTTCAGGAGGCAAAAGAGGTAAGCAAGCTAAACTTAACTTTCTGTTCATACATTTTGGTATACCAATTAACCACTCTAAATAAAATACCTAGTATGCAATAAAACCTTCAGCAGAGTTAGATTAAAAACTTTAACAATTCATAAATAAATGCTTTCCAAATGTATAAAAATATGGAAGAAAAGGAAGAGTGGAGATAGAAAAAAACTGCTTTCCAAATGGCTCACAATGGTGTGGGGCAAGCTTCATTTGATATTACCTATAATTTCAATCTCATCAACATACTCAATAGAAATAACAAACGTGCAAGGATGTCACATCTATAGACCAACCAGACACCTGAAATACAGTTACCTATCTCACTGCATCAGTTAAATGTTATCCACTAAAAAATACAAGTAACAACTATGATCAAGAGACTCCCAACAAAATGCACCATACCTGCAACTTCTGAAGAAGTGCAATCAGCAATACCAGAGAAGGAACCAAAAGATCGACTAAGCTTTGCTCGCGATTACGCTCCAATAACAAATCAGATGTCGAATTGCTTTCTGCCCCCTCATCGACAAGATAATCTGTTCAAGAAAATGCAATCAGTGTATAACAATAAAAAGTAAGCAAGTCAAGAAAGAGTCCAGATGGCCTAAAACTATGAAAAAAGTCTGCTGCAAAAATAGTTTCACATAGTAACAGAATAAAATTCATATTCGGATAGAGATACAACCTACAAAAATAGTCAACCGAAACTCCAGCACTATATTTTCCCAGGACTCTTTTTCCCCTTTCATGATCATTTTACCAGGAATCAAAATGCAAGTAATTCGGTGGATATTGGATAATAAGTAATAACAACACATGACTGTTGACAACTTAAGAGGTACCATTATGAGCTTCAAACTTACTGTCCCCAGTGAACGAGTAATACACCACATGCAAGCTTTTAGTTTTTGGGTGGGTAGATGCTAAGAGAAGATTTTAGAGTCACTGGAACTAGAATAAGAACTAAAAAAGTAGGTCAAAGATGACAGATAGAATACGTAACCTTTGCATCCTGTATGTACCCGTTTTGGCATATAACAATGCAGGCTAGGACTTGGGTAACAATTATATACTTGAGCAAAAAGTGCTTCTTCATAAAAGCTTAGAAAGCACATTCTCCGGTCTAATCATACAGAAGGCTTTGCCGGTTACTATATGGTACTATCCCTTGCCTACTTCCAATCCTTGGGGGTCAAGATTCACTTCTAAATATATATAAACACAAACTAATGTACATCTATATATGCTCCTTTCTCGGGTAAAAAAGTATCATGAGGACAATTTATATCGTGAAACTAACCGTAGATATTTGATGACTTCTCCATCATAAAGCTGCAGTTCACAACAATAGCATAGATAACTGTCAGAGCACCTTCATCGTACAAACTTGCCGCAACAGTCTGCATGAATAGAAGTAAAGTGAGCCCAAGCGAGAATAATCACCATGGTATGTCAGTACGAGTGCAGTCTACATACTGAATTTTCTGAAATGAAGGCCAAAATTCGAATGGCTGTTGTCAGCTGCGCTATTGCAGAGTCACGAAGTGTAACACCATCAAATGTCTTCTTGGAGACAATTTTTGCCAGATTTTCCATGACATGTACATCAGAACTACCTGAAGCATCTCCCACCACATTCTCAACATCTGTTAAATCTGAAACTAGGGTGCTGGCAGACGTTAGATGTGTATCCCCTCCATATGCTAACACAGCAGAATACTTAAGAAGACCAACAGCCTCGTTTTTGTGGTAAACAACTCCAGCATCTATCCAATCCAACAGCCGTGTTGGAGCATCTTTCCTATTAGAGCCAGGGGAAGAAGAATGTAAGGCTCTATAGAGGTCCATCACATGTCCAATCCAAGAATTCAAGGAGGATGCAGTTGTGTCAGTAACAATGACTTCAAATATCTCCGCGGCTGAGTGAAAAATCGCCACGTCTACAGGGGAAGCTCCTGCATTTAAAGATTCATGTCCATAAGTGGTTCAATGCAATTCATATCTATGATTAAGATGACCTAACAATAATATCTTCATATAAGTTCAGCACTGAGTTACCACCACTTCTGGCATCTGGCTCGGTTTCCTTTACCGCATATAAGGCTTCAATCAAAGTTGATATAACCTAACAAATATAGATGGATAAATGAAAAAAAAAAAAAGTCTGACACCATGAAGCAAAATAAAGAAAGTATGCTACGTGAAAATAATGATATAGATCATACAGGAGGCACAACTAAAGATAGCATCAGATGTATATGATACCATACCATTCCTATCGAGCCTCAGAACATCTTTCACACTAAACTTTCCAAGGTTATAATGAACTGTATCTTATAAATAAAAATCAGGGCCAAAAAGCAAGATAGATGTTCTAACAGCCTGCACTCCAAAGTTTGTGCAAGCACAAGAAAGTGACTTGGCGATTCCTATATCCCTGAGGATATAAATAACCTGAGCATCGCTTAATGATCATACCTCAGGAAAACACCCCAATGCCAACAAAGCTTGGCGACCACAATCAGATCTGCAAACCAAGTACCCAACAAGGGTCAATCCCTCTGAATCTAGATCTAAAAATAGATGGAAAAGAACAGTCAGTAAGTTCAACCTGGAGAGACCACAGAGCTCCCACAACACCCACAAGAATTCTTCCGTATGTTGAGCTAGTAAAAGCAATCTGTCGATAGCATTCACCTGACACAACAGGACAAAAATTTAGCTTTAAACAAGTAACTCAAACAAAACGAAAACAATTCACATTATTTGAATGGACTGACCACTCTCAAATGCATCTCAATAATCATTGCCACTTCCCGAGGACCACAAACAAAACCCTTCGCCGTTAAAATAGATGCATATCTGAGTGGAAGGCATTCTTCCATTCTCATGTCAGTTGCATTCCTCAAAGCATCAATTATGGTAGAGGAAAGTTCCGGGTGGCTTGAAAGGAAAAGTAAACCTGGCAAGCAAAGATAACAAATGAAGACATTCAAGCCCATATCTAAGGGGGAAACTTTGCATGAACGGCTTTCGGGGTAAACCTGAGCGACGCATAAGAAGAGCAAGAAGTATGGCCCCAATAGTTGATGCAATCTCAACAAATGTGCCCATGGTATCTCCGACTTCTGAGCGCAAAATAGGCGATGCCAAAAGTGCAGCTGATAATGGAAGAAAGCCTCTCTCCTGTATCCACCAAACGACAACCAATTAACAAAAACATTCCATCTCTGAAGAAAACCATATTCAAGTCCCTCAAACTACAATTATCGGAGTTATTGGTTAGTTGAACACAAGCTCCCTTCTTGTATTAATTACAATAATTTTGTAAATTGAGTCACTTCTGACAAAAGCCAAGCTTCCTGATCTTTAAAAACATAATTATAGTGACAGAAAACAAAAACAAAAAGGCTATAAAGGGCAAAAGTTGAATATATAAATGCCCTATTCCAAAGTGTCCAGGACAGAGAAAAGAAAACCACCTTTGGATTGCCAAATTAGCCAACAGTCTTGTCATTTTTTCTAAGTTTAGCTAGTCAGATGGCTAACTTAGATCAAAATGAGCTAAAATAGCTTCCAATGTCTTCAAACATTTTAACAATTATCACTTCATCAATCACAAAACTATATACATAACAGCATTGGTGGCCATGGATGCAGTGAACTTTAAACTCCCAGAATTCCACCTTTAAGACAAATTTTGAGCAGATTATATTCTCTTGAACCAATGAGATGATGAGAAATTCATAGTTTTGAACTTATTGATCTTGTCCACTCCTAATGACAAGATGTGAGAGCAACCACAGAAGCACTTTGCTTACCACACCATATTGATGAAGACTACACCCTATATACTTACACGAGACAAACTCAGAGGGAGTTATACCTTGAGAAGTCCCAGCAAATGGGGGTCAAGATCACGGTTGAAAAAAGAGCAATCAGAGGAACCAATCAACCCCCTGGTTGATTCATAAGACAATAGCCCTTCTGTTCCACCAAGAATCAATGATCGACTTGCTTGAGCCACCGGAGAAGGATCTTCAAGTGGACCAATTGAGTTGAGCAATTTCTGCAAGCCGATTACAAGGTTAATATCTTAATGATAGATCGAGATACTATAAATGGAAAAGGTAGTAGAGAACTGACCAAGAGTTTTTTCAGTTGAAATAGAACACTCCCAAGCATGCTTTCTCTTAGATTTGCTACTCTTCCGTCAGCAGGCAGACCGGCCAACACAGATAGAACAGCAGACTGAAAAAGAAAAATACAAATTACAATGATTGAATATATATGACAGATGCATTTGGCAACTGCGTGGTACCTCGTATCTTGAAGCAACTTCATAGAATCTTAAACGATGAAGGATGTAAGACGAGAGAAGCAACATCATGGCGTGGTTTTTCCAGGAACAGCTTCAACAACTGGCTATACTCTTTGCTAAACCCAGAAGGCACATTTTCATCTTCCCTTGGCCACCAGCCTAAGATTCCTTCACACCCAATTGGATGTCATGTAGCCTGCTCTATAACTGCGAGTAAGAGTAAGACAACTGCGGAAGAATTATGTATGTCATGAGAGAAAAAGTGGGCAAGTTGCTCAATTCCCCCATGATTCACAAAGTGAAAGCAACTTTCTCTGCTAGAGCACAGTAAAAAGGCCACACACAGGCCCAAAAAGTTCTTCCTCTGAAACAAAAATTTGAAAGAAGAAACCCATAAGATTCTTTCAGCACCAAAAATTAAAATATGGATATATTGCAAACAAGAGTAAGAAATATACTCCTGACACACAATATGAGGAAGACAGTAGATAATGAGATTGAGCGAAAGAGACTAAGAGATCTCTTCTTATCCTAAAGTTCCAAATCGAAGACAGTTGATAATAGCTAAGAGGTGCTTCTGTAAGATAATCACCTTTAAAAGCTCCTGTGGATGAGAAGAGTTCTTGCCAAAACAAAGGCACAAGCGCAACATGTCCACCAATTGTTTGGAAGTAGCCATATCACCTTCAGATTCAAGAAAACTGCCATCCGTCAATGACTAGGCTGCATCATTCTCTGAACAACCATGAAGGACTCCAATAAGCTCGTTCGTAGCCTCATCAATAACATGGGAAAACTCTTCCAGCTCCTTGGATCCACCTCCTTCAGTTACCTTGTGATACGAATCATGAGTGACTCGGGAACAAACAGCTTTGACTATGGTACTTACAACTTTGTACACAGATCCCTCAATGAGAGGCATCTCTAGCATCTTGGAGATGAGGTGTAAGAACTTTTTGACTTCCATACGCAAATCCAAAGCGGCGACAGGAAGAGATAATACTTTCAGAGAGATTAATGATTCTGTTATGACTCTTGAACTTGAATGCAATGCCAGAGGCAGATCTTCTAGCTTTCCCTCGGCAGAAGTGACAAGATTAGTCAAAGAGTTATCATCAAACTCAATATTAAACTGACCTAGATCCTCTGCTGTGTTTCCATATATGACCAAACTCAGACTGCAGTAGCTGCCTCTTACAACTAGATGGTTAGTTACAACAGCCTGCATTTTATCAGTGTGACTACTTTCAGATAAAGTTTCAAATTTTGAGTATATTATATCCAGCCCGCAAAGGACTTGAGGTCTCGACACAGGAGGACAGAACATCAGACATTCAAAGAAAAGAATGTCAGCTCCAATGAAGGGAGGAGATATTTATGAATGACTGACGAGCAATGTATTCAAAAGAATAGATTTATGGCTCATCGTAGAAAGAATTATGCAAACTAGAAGCAAATGGAGCACTGGTATGCATACTAATATAGATAGTGCAGTTACCTCCACTTCCAAAACATTTGACGACGAATGAGAATAGAGGAAGGGGTGGCACAAACGCCTAAATCTCATCTCCCCCTCGGATTGTACAAATACCTCCAAAGCAAATGAAGGAGGCGCAGTAGCCCTGCAACATAATGATAACGCTTTAGTCAACAATTACACACAAAAGCCATTACGCAATCCTCCTGTTACAAACCAATGCAATCAAACAATGATGTCCATTCAGCCCCAATGGATTCCCTTCGTTACGTAGAACACACATAGAAATATTAGAAGGCACCAACAGAAACGTACCCAACCAGTGACACCACTTGGGAGCCAGAAGGTGCGTTCTGTTCGAGGAACTCGCAAGCTGTAATCACAACTGGCTCACCGAACAACACCTGCAGCATAAAGAAAGCAAAAACTTCGTCATTGAACTGCCTTCAGCCCAAGATTTCGAACAACAAAATCCATGATGCTAAGACACAGTAACAGATTGGTATCATGCTGCAAGTAACTTCAACAGTTCGAACTCCGAGCCCGAATTCCTGAAAGCACAACCAGAGTTTGATTCCACAACAGTGAGGAGTCGACAATGGCAGAAAACGGGAACACTAACCTCGTCAACGTACTCGTCGAGTTGAGGGTGGACGAAGGTCTGGGAGAACAAGACGCAGGGCTCGGGTCGAACCATATTTGGTCGTTAATTCGGATCCTAAATGTTATTCAGTCGAGAGGAAAGAAAGAATTCATGAGCTTTCTAGGTTTATGAGAGGGTGCCATAAGAACTCCAAACTAGCAAGTCCCCGGAAGACCACCGGCTGACGGAGGCGGAAAGAGGTGCTAAACCTTTTGGGGGCGACGGCGCTTCTTTTGGTTCCTTCAACAGCCAATCCGACTGATCACTGATGTCTATTACTGTTGCTAACTTGGTAATTGCTATCGACCGGACTCCGATCCCGGTTTTTTATTTAAAGGGTACTCGTTTTTCAAATTATGTACAAATAATCAACACGGGGAAAGCCAAAATCAAGACTATCATTTATAGTTGAAAAGTAAAACTGCATTCCATTCAAATTTTCCAGCCCATAGAGTGATTTTAGAAAGCTGATGTGGCAGGATGTTAAGCGGAAAAAAATAAAACTCCCCATCAGATTGCAGAACTAAGAAATCGTCCACTACCCACCTTTTCTCCTGGTTTCCCACGTTATCATTTAGTTTTCAATTAGTTTTCATTTAGTTTTTGTTTGGCTGAAATAAGCCCACATTTTCTATCCTTTCGCCTACCCGCAGGACAGGAAGAGAAGCAGTTTCCATCGGAATATTCTGGTAAGAGGGCGTCACGATTTCGTCTTCAACGGAGGAAGGCGCTGACGGCCGGCTGTTGCTGAGTTAATGGGAAGAGGGTCGGACGCTTTGGTGGTCAGCGGCGCAAAGCAGTGACGGCCGCGACCGATCTCCGTGCTCGGACGCTTTGGTGTTCTGCTGGGACTGGGGAGATCGCGTTTGGAGTGCACCGACCGATCTCCGTGGCGAAGAGGTTGTCGACGATCGAGGCTTTCCCCTCCGGCGAGAAGCACAACCACTGCCGCCGCCACCACCGTCTCCCCCGCCGCCACGAACCCTGCTTCTTCTTTCTTCTCTGCTTCAGCCTCTAGAAGGTCGCTCCAAATCGCTCCAGCTACTCTTGAGGAGGCCCCCATCACTCTCAATAGGGGTGTTCAAATGGTTACCATGGTTATAACCAAATCAAATAAGGCTAAATTCCATTAACCATGGAATACAATATCATAACCAAACTGTCCAAACTAATACAACAACCAAATTAACCAAACTAAAGTTTAATTGGTTTGGTTAATTGGTTAACCAGATTAACCAATATAAAATCACATTATCATTGTCGATGAAAATTTTCCGGTTAATGCAACAATTCGCAATATATATAATGAATAAAACATAACAATCAACACGTAGTTATAGTTGACCCTTAACAAAAATACATGCAACTAAGACAATTATCTTACGATTAGTATAGAAGTATTCACCTAACAAAAAATTATGACAATGGTATGGGTTAATGAATTATTGTGTTTGTGTAAATTGACTTAGTCTCTTAGCAATTATCATAGGCTGGAAATGACCTTCCTTTCAAGTTTTCATTCATCGTAATGTATGAAATTTATCTAAATTAGGCGTCCATATGTTGTGGTCTAGACTTTACATATACAAATATACACTATATGAGCAATATTGAGCTTTATATTTTATGAGTCTAAAAGGGATGAACGTTAACTCTTGAGTGGTTATGCAAAGTATTATGTGTATATAATATATGTTAGATATATGACTAATTACTTAACTGGTTAATTTGGTTTGACTAGTTAGGAGTGTCTGAAACCAAACCAAACCACCTAAACCAAACAAGCTAAAAAATTAACCAAATCAAACCAATTATCCAAATTAACCAAACCAAATTATCCAAATAGTACCGATTAAAACGGTTACCACGGTAACCAAACCGTTTGAACACCCCTAACTCTCAAGCCAGCGGTATTTCCTTCTTTCTTATTAGGGTTTAGGCTCATAATTGGTCTTTGTTTTATGGAAGCAACGCTGAAGTAAAAAAAGGTTCCACCTCTAATGACAATGATTTCAGTGTTCACATTCTGTGATTAATGTTTGAGAAACTGTGGTTTGATGGGGTGAAGTTGAAATATTTATTCTTTGAAATCTTGTTGCTTTGTACGCAGCTTCTGAGCTAATAAAGAGCTTAGTTGAGCCGAATCTTCAAGAATACAGACCTATAATTATGCATCTCTCAAGTTTTGCACGCTCACATTTGGTACAATTGCGGCTCAGTTCACAGGTCTGTCCTCTTCTCGCTCTTCTATTATGATTAGTTTGAGATTAGGCATAGAGAATTGTGTTTCAATAAGCTTCCTTAGCTTATTACGATTCTGTCTCTCGAAAATGTCCTGGAAGAGTGTGGTTTTGTAACTGTGGCTCAATGATTCGGTTAATTGTTGCAAAGGTTGTTTAACTGTGCTTGACCTCTGCTTCATCGCAATGGTAGCATGGATTAGTTGTCATTACAATTTACAAATATGTAAATCGACACCGACACATTATTTTGATGTTTGCCAATGATGCAAATTTTTCACAATATTCATTCGGCCAACGGGCCGGCCTATATGCTATAGAATCTATGTATTGTACTAGAGAGGTTTGATCCTCAAATCGGTGACAGCCAGGGGTCATCCAAATGCTTATAGTAGTAAATATATAAGATCAGAGGTTTAGTAAGAAGTTGTGTATACTACTCTTTATTTCACATTGAGAATGGTTTTTAAACTACGGTTAACTTCAGTGTTTGGACGATTGGCCTACTGTGTTTCATGGGGTTTCATTCCCCTTCTCAATTTTGTCGTGGATACTGTTTCACTGCTATTACCTTTGTATGAATAGTGGTTGATTTCTTTTGTTTTCCAAGTTCTTATTCTAGAACGAGATACACATTAACAATAATGTATCTGCATTTTAGATAGGCAGTTATGATTGCATAATATTAGGTACCGATTTTCATATTGTTATACTTTGTGTCCTCTTTAATCCATTGTGAACCAGAGAGTGTGCATATAAAATACATTTTAGATTTTGTTGTGGAAAACGTTAGACATTAATTAGATACGAAATCGGGATTGTGAAATCACTTAGTTCATTATATGTTGTAGGCTCATTCACCCTTATTTTTGTTGGCAGAATTTTCAATTGTGATATTACAAAGCTTCTGAATTCAGATAGTGACAACAACTTTCAACCTATATATTCTGTACATAGTGACCCGTTAGGAAAGTGATACCAAACCTCTAACCTGTTTAACTTTGCATCCCATAATCAATTTATATTTCATTGCCAAGTACACTTTTAAGAGGAACAACATCAAAAGTTTCTTCTATGATTGGTTCATAGTGTCATATGATCATTTGGTCCTAGGTAAACAAAGTTGCATAGCTATGAATGATAACATGATGAGCTGAATCGTCACTGTAAATGCTTGAAATTGTGTTAATTCCTGACCCCGAGTCCGAAATTTCCCCTCCCAACCCTGAACTCCCCTGACATTTAAAAAAAAAAAAGAGAAAGAGTACATTAGTAATGACTAATGTAGGGAAACTGATGATATGATCTCATTGTGTAGGTAGTTGCTAGCAGCAGGTGTAGTTGAAATGTTGGTTTGTGCATATTTTTAGGGTACATAAGATGTACGTAGATATGTAGTTCATATTGTTTGGTTTTAACTCTTTGGAGCAAATGTTAATGATGATTAATGACATTGTAGAAAGAACCGTAACATACTCAGTTCCATCTCGAATTTCACATAGTTGTGTCGACAGTGATCCTCTTTTTGGCAGCTTCAAGCTCCTCTCCCTTTAAGTGTTTGATCTTGAATTGGTAGGGTATCTTTAGCTTCTGTTTATTTCTTGCTTTTGTGCTCATGATCTGTGAAACTCATAAGCTAATTTGAATATACATTAATCTTTTGGTTTCACATTGGATGATTGCATGTTTATTTGACTTTAAGGATTATGCAAATTATGCTTGACCTCAAAGACACCGGCTGGCCGATGTAGCTCAAGCTTGACCTACTTTGCATTTGGGGTTTGAATGCCATTTGTAACCAGTATTAAGGACTGCACATCATGAGCTTTTGGATTGAGAGGCAATTTGATTCAGAAACTGAATGTGTAGCTATAGATTAAGGCTTATGCAAATTATGTCATCAATCGACAGTTCTGTATAGCTCTGGAATTACAATTGAGTTCAATGTAGTCAAAATTACGCTTTAAATATTAAAAGCTTACGTTTGTACGCTTCTAGAGCATCAAAATACTTCTATGTAGAATTGCACTTTTGACGACAATGATTGAGTTAATTGTTTTGAGTTATAGAGTTCCACACAACACTTCTATTTTAGTTCATCTAATGTGCCTTTGTATATTTACATGGTTGATCAGATTTTGGTAGCCCATCAAGTTAACCAATTGATAGACCTTGGATCAAGCTAATGATATTATGAATGATCTTTACCTCGTCGCTCCATAGACTTAACACTTCTAGGAGACAAGCATTAGTTGTGGTGCATTTCTTTGGTGAAAGCCTTACAATCACCAGGTTACTCGCAAGATTGTTTCCTCTCCTGTCTTATGAAACCTTTATATCATTCTGATGTATGACCGTCAAGGTTTATGTCTCTAATTCCTTTTCATTTCAGGTATCGGCAGTTTGATACCCAGGATGCACCCATTGGTTAGAGAGAAGGGAGGCAGGGTTAGTCTAACAACATATATGTCTTTGTTTTATTTATAATGATGATACCAATTTATTAGAAAGCAAAATTAGGGTAAAGAACCAAAGATACAAGTTGAAACAAAAAAGGAAAACTGATGGCCAAAAACACATGATGGTGATCAGGGTGACCTTTTGTCCCTATTATATGTAGAGTCAAAATGTAAATAGTTGCTGGCGGGAGCTGCATTTGCCCTATTTATGTATGTTCAGCTTAGATGTAGCAACTCCAGAAACTTGCATATCTCAGTAAATATGTAGAAACTTCCCTTTTCCCAGGTTTGTGACTTTTGTTTTAAGTGTTTGTAATAACTTCCGCATTCTGTGTTTGTGTTCCAGGGGCAAGTGATTTTTTTCCGGTGTATTTTAGGTGCAGATCCACGGAGGAGAGGACCCCAGTGGATGTTGACTGGATTGATTCACTGCCCAGCCGGTCGTCAAGCCTCTCAGTGTTGTCGGCTGTACTATTGGGTTTCAGCTTCTTTCTCTACTCAATCGTGGTTCCAACTGCCTAATTGCATTTTCAAGAGGGGTTCTTCGAGTCGAGGGGTCAGGGAATTGGCATACGTGGTCTGTTTAGCAGGGGAGTTGTTCATCAACCTCAATTAGTGACTTCTGAGGTCGCTTCGGAGGCTGCAATTCCAAGTAATTTATCTTTCCTTAGCTTTTCATTTTTGGTTGAGGGCCTGGGGTGCTTAATGATTAGTAATAGCGGATTGGAAAAGAAAATCATGGTGGTGGTCGACTGTCATTTCCCATATTTTCAACTGTGGTTTAGAGTTCATAGGGTGATATTAATTAGACCAGCAGAATGGAATTGAGAATCACGTTGATGGTCCGTTTTGTGATTTAAATACATTTTGGGTGAATGGTTGACTTGGTAGACTCCATCGGCGTTTACACTCTTCTTCTTATCACTGCATAATACAAGGTAGACTCAACTTCAGTGGATTATTTATGTGTTTATTTTATGGGAAAATCTTGAGTTTGGATGGACCAATCGAGTGTGTTACATTTTTCATGATACGTTACCAAACACCAGGAGGGTAAGCTAATGTTAGAAATACTGAAACTTCGCTTCATTATAAGAGTTTAGTTTATTCAATCACTCTAGAAATCAAGACTTCATAGAGGATAAAGGACTGGTGTCTTTTCTTCCAGTTTTGATTTCGGTTTGCATCGGCTTTACTTTTTTTTGTTTAAATTTATAGGTCGCCTTCAACTTGGTTGGAACATTTTGGATTTCTTCGACTGTTATGTTTGTGTGGTCTGTTGTATGTGTCATTAACTCGCACAAACTTATGATTGGTGAGGAGTTCAGCTTCTGTTGTAACAATTACATTAATTTATATGAATGGCAGCAGCAAAGTTTATTGGAACGGGTGCATCATTTACCACGTCCTCTATTTCAAATTGCGTCAGGTTATTGCAGAATTAAATATGGATAGTGCAAATGTCATCCCATCTGCCCAATCACAGATTTATCGATCGTCTGTACCAAGTGAGTGTCTCGCTCGTCTGTACCATGTGAGTGTCATGGTTTAGCACGAAACTGTTTCAATGCAAACTGAC